GCCGCCCCGGTTCCCTGGAAGCCGCCCCCCCACGGATTTCCAGCCGAACCTGCCAGTGCATCCAGGGAACCTTTGAATCCCTTTTCCGATATACACCTTGCCAACCTCTCCTGAACCTTGATCCCTTATTTTGTGTTGACCCTTAATAAACCGATTATTCGTAAACTAATCATTGGTCTCAGTAACAATTAGTGAGCATGGTGAGAGGGCACTCTAATCTACCCTCTGAGATATGGTCCCGCAGTGGCCGTTCCTCTGAGAGAGGTGAACACCACGTGTGACCCTCGGGCTCATTCACAAACCCCTCCACATTGCGGGGGTGGGGGGAAGTCGCAGAAACATCCTGACAGCCGGTAGCCCCCAGTACCGGCCCGTGACAGTTAGTGATTAATGTTCCAGACCTAGTATAAAACTTCATAATAAGTAAGTTGCTAAAATTTAAATGGTTAACCTTTATTGATTGATTTGACTATTAGTGGTACATTTTATTAAGATATCTTTTGCAATATAGCTTTAAAGTGCTGTTCCGATCTCTCAGTTTCCCTGTAATTTGATTGTGCTTCTGCCTTTAAGTTTACATGGTCAGGACTCTGGTACTGTTTGCAATAAATCTTGTTCTATGCATATACATCTCGGCTGCTATCTTGCCCCTTTCTTGACACCTACGGTGTACTGTGTCCAGATCTGGAGCCCTCAACATAAAAGGGTGACATGTTCTAACATGGACCTGTTAGAACAAGCCCAGAGAAGGGCCACAAAAATCATCAGAGGGCAGGAGCCCCTCTCCTACAAAGACAGGTTGAGGTTGTTGAGCCTGGAGAGGAGAAGGCTCTGAGGAGATCTTATCACAACTTTCTAGTACATGAAAGACTTTCAGGAAGCAGGGGAGGAACTTTCTACAAGAACATGTAGTGATAGGACAACAGGCAATAGCCTTAAACTAGAGCAGGGTAGATTAAGATTAGGCATTGGGAATAAGTTCTTTACTATCAGGGTGGTGAAGGACTGGAACAGGTTATCCAGAGACATCCCTGGAAACAGTCAAGGTCAGGCGTGACCAGGCTCTGAGCAATCTGTTCTGGTTAAAAAGGTCCCTGTGCACTGCAGGGGGGTTGAACTAGAAGACCTTTAAAGGTCCCTTCCAACCTCACATTCTATGATTCTTTAAAATAAGAAGTGGTTTTTAGTGATGGCTTTATAATTACACGGAGTCAGTTTGAGTCTTCCCCGTACTTCAGAATATTTTCTCTCAGTATGGTACCCAGATGTTAGCAAATGATCAGGACATCAAGTGCTTCCTGGCTACTGTGCCTCCAGCTGCAGTGCTGTCTCAGTAATGTTTTAGATCAAGCTGCATCCAGTGCCATTCCTGAAGCAAGCAGACATACAAAATGTTCTCTGTAATGCAGACCTGAAGTATGAATTATTTCAAACTATTAAAATAACCTCAGACCGTACCTAGGTAGTTCAGTACAGTTTTACAGTGGTAACACTAACGCCCAGCTGACAGTACAACACGGAAATCCCTTTGGATTGGTGTATTTTTACAGCACAACTAAAGTAAAAACATTCACCTGCCTTTCCTTTTCCACCTCACCACTGCAGCCCCGGACAACTCCTGTTCTTCCAACGACTCGTACGTTCTGAGTCGGTTCCCTTCCTTCCCCGTGAACGGGAGCGGCTCTGCACCCACAGCCAGGCAGCCGAGCAGGAACTTTCCCAGCT